AAATTCGAAAAATCAGGGGATTGCCAAGCGTTCGAGACGTAGGGGGCTCTGCCCGAAGAGACAGCAAGTGTCGAAGAGGCTATATGCCGAAGCGGCCCCTTAAGAAGAGGGCAACTATGATGGCCTTCCATTCTTTCGAATGGACAGTCATCAATTTTTTTTTAGCCACGTTGTCCCTCTCATTTTTTGTATATCATTCTGTGTGGATTGACGGGGAGAGACGAAGAACTATCATTTTCATATGATTTTCTCGAATCCGTATTTAAGTAAGAGAAATATTTTAGATTTTTTTGTCATGCGAAGTAATGTAAAATTGAATATATCTTTACTAGGTCAATTCTATGAGATCGATGTACTGCGAAATATTCTTGATTTTAATAGTAACTTTAGTAAGTTATTAGCTTTTTTATCACCGTCTCTCTCTCGCTTTCCGAATTGTTTCGCTTGTGCCTTTGTGCTCCCTTTCAGCTTTAGGTGGGCCACTTCAGAGAATCTACCGAGTTCCTGGTGTTTCTTCAATGTTCTGTTTTACCTGTATTTTTGTGCCCCTTTGCAGGTTTAGGTGGATCACCTGGAAGCAGCCATTTTTGGTAAAATCATCGTGGGCAGTTAATCAAAATCGAGCTTGCTGCACTTGTTGGTAGAAGACGTTAGAATATGTTAAAGGATGTTCGTGAATTTTTTTTCGCGATGCGAACTGCATCCACAGTAGCTTGATGAGGAAGGTTGTTCTATTTAGATTGATCTCTCGAGCTAGTGGCTGCGATTTGTTTCGGAGGAGATGCAGGGTTTTTTAATTTTTGTGAGGAGTTCATCACTTTTTCAGCCGGTTTTCGGGCTGCCCACAGTTGTAACAGGTGGCAAGTGCATTAGTCGTCTGCATCCTCCACCGGATGTCGCGCAGCACGCGATCGCTCGGTCCTTCCTGTGTATCTCTCAACTCATCTCTGATTTGGTCATCTATAAGATTTTAGAAGTTTTGTCTATGGCAAGCCGTGGCATCATGTGATAAATGTCGTCAGTTACTTGGTGAGGTTAGAATTTCGAGATGCAAGCGGTTAATTCTGTTCATTGATCGTTATTGGACGCAATGTAATAGGTCAAGTTGTTATGTCCAATTAATGTCTTGATACTTGGTAACTCTGTCCCTAAACGTTAGAGTCATCTTGTAACTAAACAAAGTTTATACAATATTTTTGTACTCAACGACCACTTTGTTGTTACTGTTTTATTTGCATAGCAATGCGTGAGAATGGTTTTAATATTGGCAAATTATCAATTAAGCCAAAGGAGACCCATGTGAAAATGGAACGGTTCCAAAAGTATCGCTAAAGGTAATGGGAATTAATTACTGATGTTAGTTATTATGAGTTCATGAATTATTACGTTGCATATTAGTAATTTATGGTTATTGATTGTTTAGGACTAGCAAATCTGTTGTACGCTCGTATCAAAATATCTCGGATAGGCAAACATGTATTTTATCATGCAATGGCTCGACCATGGCTAGGATGCTTTATCGGTATCCTAGTTATGTCGGTTATTTTCTACTTATATTTAATCGTAAACGGTGAGTTGTAATAATAGTTTTATTAATGATGAATATATTGCAAGATAGGATACAGCTACAAATTGGTTATTTTAGTTCCATCTGTTGAGAATATCGTTATGGATACGTCGAGATTACAGGTGCCTAAAGAGAATGCAGGGAAGAGATCTCATTCTTCTACCGAAGTTCAGTTTAAAAAGAACATTTTGATAGCCAATTCCACTCAAGTAATGCTCATTTATAGAAAAGTTTGGAATCATATTTCTCAGGGTTTTGACAATTTCGTCATTTTTCAGAATATGTGTGAAACCATTCATATCGCAATGGTATGCGCTGGTTATAATTCCACATTTGCAGTCGTGACCGTAATGAAGTCGATTTTATTCTATCGAACGAAACCGATACGGCTTCATCTGTTAGTAGATGAAGTTGCAAAGCGGACATTGTCAACTTTATTCGTTACATGGGATTTACCACATGGTTAGTTATGAAATTGTAGGAATAATTCCTAGACTTGATAGGTTATCGAATGTAACTTAAATAATTTACTCTTCCAGTCACGGTCTTGTATTATAGAGCCGAAGATTGGGTACCTAAAGTATCGTGGATTCCAAATAGACACTATTCTGGCGTTTATGGACTTTTGAAATTGATTCTACCTGAAGCGATGGCAGAAAACAAAGTCCTCGTATTGGACACCGATGTTACAGTATTAAATGATATTGCAATCCTATGGCGATTGTTTGAGAATTTTAACGAAGAGCAGCTTTTGGGACTAGTGGAAAATCAAAGCGATTGGTATATAAAAGCCTTGTCTTACAGTCAACGTCCTTGGCCAGCATTAGGGAGAGGATTTAATACCGGTGTAATGCTAATGCATCTACAGCGATTGCGATCTGCAAAGTTTGCACGTTTATGGGAAACGATAACAAAACGAGTATTGCAGCAAATTCCTGAAACTAGCCTTGCTGATCAAGATGTTTTGAACGCTGTAATCCACGAACATTCCCAAATCATCTATAAATTGGGCTGTACTTGGAACATACAACTCAGCGATCACACCATCAGTGATCTATGTTACAGTAACACAAATTATATAAATGTAATAGTAACTTCTCTGTCAGAAAATTGATTGTAGTGAACGTTTAGTAACAGGTATTAATATCTTCCTTGAATTTAAATGAATATTAGTAAAATGATTACAGATTATTCATTGGAATTCTCCAAGAAAACAGGATGTGAGGAATAAACATGTCGATGATTTTCGACAAATATACAAAGTCTTCCTAGAATTAAATGGCAACTTGCTTCGTAGGCAACTGTTTGGTTGCGAAAGGCCAAAAGTTAACTCTCTGGTAGGTCTGATTTCGGAACAACTTATATACTCTACTCGATAAAAATCTCTTTAGTGGAATATAAATTACTTTCCTCATTTTTCCCATTGCAGTATAATCAATCGAATCCATGCCTTAAATTTGTCAAAGGCGCAGAAATAAATTACCGGACTCATCTCTTTCTTCTGGAGTATGAGTACAATATAATATCGAGCACAGATGTTGCTTTGGTAACTCAGTGCAGTGCGGATAGAATAATGTTACTCGAAGAGCTTTGCAGACATTGGCCAGGAACGATAAGTGTCGCATTGTATCTTACCGATGCAGAAGTGCAGTCTTTCCTCGACTTTATCCGGAGTTCCGCAGAGTTGCGAGTTAGAAAAAATATTGCTTACCATATCGTCTATAAGGATGGGGTGAGACATTTTTTAGGGTTTCCGAAGCTTTCCGTTTATTTTCACTCCTAAACGACTGAACAAATATGTTTAAGTAAATTTATTTCTCATAGGAATTTTATCCTGTCAATTATCTGAGAAACATAGCCATGACGCATGTTACGACACCTTATATATTTCAACTGGACGTTGACTTCCTTCCTCAGTTTGGGTTGTACGAAGCCTTGATGAATTACATTACGAAATTGAATATGGGCAAGTCGAGTAGAACAGCCCTAATAGTGCCAGCATTCGAGACTCAGAGATATAAGTAATTATTAAAGCGCATCGACGAGTGGTCAACCTAAATTTTTTGCAAAACCATCAAATATATTTTCTTTAGGTTTACATTTCCATCGAACAAGGCGGAATTAATTAAATCTCTGAACCGTGGAATTTTTTACACCTTTCGTTATCATGTTTGGACACAAGGACATTCTGCCACAAATTATTCGTTTTGGCGAACCGCCACCGAACCCTATGAGGTATAATTACAACACTTCATAATGAAGGGATTATCTCTGACGCTAAAATTATTATTCAGGTTTTATGGGAGCCCGATTTTGAGCCTTATATTGTCGTTCCTCGTTCCGCGCCGAATTATGATACAAGGTTTGTCGGTTTCGGCTGGAACAAAGTTTCTTACGTTACACATTTGACTGCTCTCGGTTATAGGTAAGATTTATCATTGGCATTGCAATTTGTGATGCTGATATTAATAATTCCAGTTGATGCTAAATTTACACTCAGAGATATTTTTTGTCGCTAAGTAATCATTGTTTGTCAGGTACATAGTATTACCAGATGTATTTATTATTCATCGCCCCCATGCACCGAGTCAAGATATCGGAAAGTTCAGAAGGGACTCTCTCTATAGAAGGTAACGTTGTTTTTATAATTAGATGCAATTGCAAATAAATATCTAGGGCAGTCATTAAGAATATTAACACGTAGCGTCATAATACATTTCATCGGTGCAGGTGTTTAAAGAAGTTAAAGGACGAATTTGTGCAAGACTTGATAATTAAGTACGAAGACGCTGCATCGAAGCTAAAGAGAATAACCAAAGAAAAAGTAGAAAGAACAGCGAGGCCAAAGTAAGTGATTATCATGAGTGACGTTGTCATCATTATAAATCATTTAACACCGAAACGTGATTATGCGGCATTGAAGTAGACACGTTTGTTCTCTTCTGCTCATTCCAATTATTAATTTTATTATTACTAATACTACACTCACGCGACTAATCGTATTTCTCGTGTCAGTTTAAATCTGAATTTATAGAGGGAGATTATAAGCATGCGAGATTACCCTATACCTTCCGATTTGTATTTGCAAATATAACAATATCTACGATAATAAATTGCCTCTCGGTTTATGTTTATATTATGTTAATATAATTTAGAAGAAACGTATTGCGGGATGATATCTAGGGTTGGGAAATATTTATTAAAATCGAATGCACATGGCAGAGTGTACAGAGCGGATCGTCCGCTACATCGCAGTAATATTACAATCACGCTAATTATGTCATTTATAAAATATTTATAATATTTACATAACGCCGAGAGCGACGACACGTCGAGGAGAAACGAATTTGATGGGTTTTATGCAGACTTTTGCGCAAAGTATACATTTACACCACGAAGCACGAGAATATACGAAGTTTCGTTGCGAGGCAAGCTTCGGACTTCGACTTACCATATGTTACGCTAGAAATGATACAGTAATGGTGATAACCGTAATTAATAAACAATAACAACGATACCGACAATAGTAACAGCAACTTAATAATTAACTTTCAATAGTCGTTAGAGCGGTGTAAAGTAATTTGTAATGGGGAGCCATTGATGCCGATTAAAGATTCGAATATGTTTATCGCCACGTTGATCGATTTAATTAATTTAACTACGCTGCATTAGTACGATGGAAGAAGCGAGCACTAACATGCTTTGCCGACAAAAAAAAGAATTGTTTCCCCTTTCGCTTCTCCGTGCAACGTTACGATTAGCTTTGTTATCAGGAAAAATAATGCTTTCCGAAGGCTCGTAAAAGAGAAATCAATGAATTCGAGTAAAGTTGAACTCAATTAATCGGTAATTCGTCCTGCACGTACATTGCAGTCGTTGATAAAAATTCCTACACGGTGGCACGATAAAGCTAGAAATAATGAAAAGCTCATCACTGCGGTAAAACGACAAAATCACTAGGACAGAATAGGCACGGTGAACAATTTTATTGAAGTGCCGCATTTTAGGCGCTCAACCAACATTCGACCAGCATTCATCCGACATAATCTCTAATTTACATACAGTCTAATAGAAACGAGGTCGCCAAGAACAATTACGCGATTCATAGAACCTCGGCTACTTACAGCGGCAATACTTATGTACATATTTTAACATCGTTTCCCTTCGAACGCACCTCGGGAATAATTCGCGAACTTCTTCACCGAAGTTAAAAGTCGAGGTACGAGAGAGCTTAGAGTCTCTTTGCGCGCCAAAGAGCGATTTGGTTTTCCATGCTTATTAATCTCTCTCTCTCGGGGTCCGGTAACATCGCTGGTCTTTGCTTTAAATTAACGGTAACGCAAGATCTCCAGCGAATCATGCCACAAGATGCGAGGTCTTCCTACCCCGAGAAGCTTTATTTAATAGTGCCTGAAGTAACGTCATGCGTATCTTATGCTACATCCAAAATTCACTTGCACCTGCACTCCGGGTGCATTTTGATTTTGCATTCGTCGTCGTCCCTGACCACCTTATTACCGGATATTGACGCGTTAAGGTTTGACAACGGAAAAGTCCCTCCTTCGAGCCTTTATCTACATTTAGTGTCATCGGAACACTCCTTACCGAATTAATACTTAATATTTAGAGCCTGTGGTACTTTTTAAATGAGAGATGCAAGCCAGACTCAAAATTCGACTTGAAAAAAAAAAGAAAAATTCGGTTTCAACATTTGAGCTTGTCTTGCATGACCCGCGGTACCCATTCGATGCCTGGTCGCCTTTACGATTGCGTCTTGAATTAATTACGAATAAAACTGCGCCGCCATATTGTTTTTTCCGTGCGAGCGGTACTGCAGATCCTAAATGTTAAGTATAAAATTGTGTATTAGTCGCGTAGATTAATCCGTGAATTATTCTTTCTCTTGGAAAGGCCCTTCTACGAAAGAGCTGGCATTCGGCAATCTTATGATTCTTTTGCGTTATTTGTCAAGCCGTGTTAACAGTCGCGAGCACGGCTCTCGCCATCTTAGCTTATTTCGGAACCGACGACTTACGTTCTACCATTTTTATAAAAACGAAGCTTTGTATACGTGTCTCGAGTGCCCCTCCAAACTGAATATCTAGCAGTTATTTCAACGCAATTTATAAACGATAAATTCGTCTTCACAATTTTCTAGTGGATTTTTTTGTTCGTAAAAGTAAACGTGCAACTCCAGCTGTTTCCAAGTTTCGGCCATATTTTAGCGTATTAACGATTACGTCTGCGTCACAATTTTATTCTTCACATCTCTCGGGGCGTTTAGTCTTCTCCGAGACATTTATTACACCTAAGCGACAATTAAAACGGAAGGTTTCGATTTTTCTCTCTCTTAGGGAGACCTCGATTCGAACTAATAGCGCGTCGGCCATTCTGGCTGCAGCGAGTCTTAGGTCGTGTCTCGTAATATATGCCGATAAATATTAAAGTGGCTAAGTAAAAAAAAATGTTGGTACCGTAGAAACATTTCCCTGGTTCAATGAAAATTTCTTCCTCGCGTAGAAATCTTTTAAACGGGAATATCTGGTAACATTAACTGAAGCCTTTCTTCGCGTGTTAGTAAGTGATTTCAACTTGAATTTGCAATCGGGCCACTTTCATAATGATCGGCATATTTCTGTAATAATTTCCTCCGATTTGGGGTGTATCTCGAAACCTCGCTCTCGTATATTCAACATTTTCGAGTGAATTGTTGATAGGATTACATTGGTGCGATATATCTCTCTTTTCTCTCTACCTCGGGGCTCGCTGGCTCGGTTGCGGTAGGTCGTGGGTCGGACGCTTCGGAGACGTCAAAATACAAAATTACAAAAATATATTCGCGGCGCCGTACACCAACGACCGCGGCGTGCGTTTTCATCCTCGGGCCGGTCGCATGTACAGATTTATGAACAGTGTGGGTGTGTGCACAAAAGTGGGTGTATGTACAGTATGTGACGCCGAGGTCGTTGGTCGGGCTTGTGGGCCGCGACTATTAGGCCGCTTCTCCTAAAACACGACCATGCTGCTCTCAGGGCTTGTTTGCAGTAGCTGCATCGCCTATCCCTACATTCTCACCTATCCTCGTCATTTTCCGATACTATGTATGGATCTGGGAAGAAAGAGGAGAGGAGTCGCGCGGGCGGCGGCCATCTTTAATTTCTACCGGTCGAGTCTTGAAGGAGTATAAAGAAAATCGAAGCTTACCCTAACCATTGTAATAAAAAAGATTTATCCTATCTTTTAAGACCTCGCGGGTACATTCTCGGTGACGACGTTTGCGGATTTTTAAGATAGCGTCGATAAGCGTGGCAACGCAAGATGGCCGCCGCGTGTTAAGTCTCACTTTATGCGTTTCTTCTTAGATCCACGAGGTCTACGAGAGAGAAAGAGAGAAGTCATCCTGCCAGTTTCGATCTTAATCCTTCCTATGTTAACGCGGAAGGACATGGCGGGTCTCTCTTTCTCTCGAAATCTTCGTGTCGTGCATTTAACGCAACGCATCTCCGGCTTAATACTGATCGGTCGATGTGGTTTATGCCGTGGGCTCGTCACGTCGAGGACGATGGATTTTTTTGCAATTTGCTCGGTCGACGAATTTTCGTTCCCTACTTAGATTAAACGCGGAATTTTGTGCGAAGCGTACTTCAAAGGAGGAAGCGGAAGAACTTTAACGCGAATTCGACGCATGTATGTTCGGCTTAATACTGACTGGTGACGTGGATTATACCAATTATGATCTATCCGAGTAAAACGTGGAGTTTGTGCGGAAAGGAAAATAGGAGGGCCGTAAAAGGATGCACTTATTTTCTATTTGAAGGAGAACGTCCACGTCTACGAAAAGTTTCACGAACGATTGACTTTTCTCGGATGGGACTTTCACGTCGCCTTAAGGAGGAGAATCCAGGTACAAAAGTGCGACTCCTCGCAACAAGTTGTGATCACTTAAAAACCGAGGGTAAAACCTGGATGAATGGCGCGTTAAGCCGCGGAAGAAAAGGAGAAAAAGTGTAACGACCCGTGGCCCTGACAATAAATCTCCAGCCGGAAAATTCCTCGGCCGTGCCACGGAAAATCCGAGATAATGCGAGCAGTGGGAAAGAAGATTCTCCGCCGAGACGGGAGTAAGCTCTTTTTTGAGATCAGATATCCCTCTTGGTCCAGCGCTTATCCACCTTGAAATTCTGCACCACGTTTTAGATGGGTTTACAACCAACTGCGCGAAATGTGGACTCGCCCGGAGAAAAGACTTTACGAAACCTCCCATCTCGTTTAATTCCTTGGATTTACACGCGCTAATTTGATCATTGGCCAAGAAAGAGTAACGCGAAAAAAAAAAGAAAAAAAAATTAACCGGAGTCCCAGAGTCTCGGACATTTACGTTGCACGTTTCTCGAGTTTACGCCCGAATAAATGAAGCGTTCCTTCGTTGACGTGTACGGACAGAAGTGCAAGTTACTCTTCCATTCCAGAAGAGCAACGACTCCTTCCGAGTCATTAAATTCGGCCTGCGAAGTTTCCTGCGCGGCACAAATCTCCCCATGGAAACTCCGGGAGTTCTGCCCTGTCGGGGGTGGAGATACTCTGTTCCAAACAGTTTGAGAATCGATTTAAGGAATTCTTCCACGGTGCCTGGACTCGGTAACGCGATCAGTGGTCGGGGAAAAAGCAAAAGAATCAATTGTTAAAAGTTGGACCTCCAGGACGAGAGCGCGCGTGCAGTCGCGTGCAGAACGGGCTCCTAACGAGACGTGGTCACGGCACGGTCGTTCGAGAGTCGACCTATCGATGTCGGGTAAACCGACGTCCAGTAACAAATCTCCGAGCTAAATTGGCGACATCAACTGAGAGATTCTTAAGAGAAACCTCGACATGGATGATCGTTTACGTCGAAGGTTTGATAAAACCGCGCGTTTAATCCGCGTATATTAGGCTTAGGATGTAGACTCCTGTCCAGGTTTGGTCAAAGAGTTACGCTTCGTGCGAGGCTTAGTCAGTTAAAATGGCGCGATCGATGGCCCGAGAGTTCGTTAGTCGATTGCAGAGTCCTGGACAATGGTGGATCGAGGTCGCGAGGAAGTAGGGCAGCCTTGTTCGACTTTCTTATGAAAAGAATCCCGTTCCTTCCAGTCGTCCAGATTCCTTCCCGATGTCCAGCTTTGCCTCTACGCTCGGGTCCTATTGATGGACTGGCTTCAGCGATTCGCACATTGCTCGGGTTCTTCCGGGTCAACGAATTCGTCCTGAGAACGGCGACGTTCCTTTTCCAGTCTTATCTCTTTCCGGCCGAGTTCTCGGAGGAAACAGAAACTAGGATTGGTTGCCGGTGAAGAGTTTCGCCGGAGGAGAAAACTCGGTTTAGCGTCGGTGAAACTGGAGGTGCCGGAACGTGGTCTTCTTTTAGATGAAGATGTCCGAAGGCTTTGGATGCGATAGTTTCTTTTGGTCGTCGTTTTCCGGTTGGTAGCAGTCGTTCTTTCCGACATGTCGTCGCTGTTTCCCCTTTCGACCCCAGGACTGTGCCTGGACCCCATTTATCTACTCGGAGTGGTCTGGTATATCGATCTCTCGTCAGACATTAATGCCCTCCATTGATCGTTTCACGTTGGCGATAAACGTCAACGTCTTCGGTTCCTCGTCGATGAGTATCAGACAACCTTCCCCGGTACCTTGGATCTTGGTTGTCCATTCGGTTCAATTCATATAAATCCCTTCGATAGCGAGTCGCCTAGTTGACGAGATAAAGTATAAAGAAGAGGGTTAAGGATCACCGCCCGGAGCGCAAGCGTCCCCTGGGACAAGACGCGCCCTGGAGGTCCCAGGTGCGCACCTCACCTGGAAGCCCCATCCCGTGCCGATCACGATCGTCCTTTACAATCGTTACCAGCTGAAGGCACTACCGGTGGTAGCAATGAAACGATCTCGAGGAGTCACACCTCCGTCCCATCCTCGCCTTCGTCTTCGTACAAGGGTCCATTGAGGGTCCTTTTCTTGGGTTTTGGGGGCGGTTGAGGAGGAACCTTCCTGCCCAGGGTACCGGCGTTCGATTGGGTATCTACCTCGTCCAGGACCTTGCTGGGCCACTCGGGAGCTCCCTCGGGAGCTGACCTATCCACCGGACTGCTGCTGCCCAAAATGTTGGGAGTACTCCTCTGAATGGTGCCATACAACTGGGGAACAGGGGTGGCGGTCAGGGGAACTCTGGACCTGGGGTTCCCAGGTTCCGGACTCTTGTTCAGGGACAGCTTGGAACTGCCATCGGCAGTGGTGCGCAGTCCCAGGTTATCGTAGACAGGTTCCAGGGTGTCCCCTGGGGAGGTTGGCGGTCCACTGCTCCAACTAGGTGCCCTGGGTCTCCTGGGTATCGTGACGTATCCGTGTCTTGGCATAACGGGCGGCACCCCAGCCGTGAAGGGTGTTCCGCTGCGGTTGTGGGGGAGCGTCTTGAAAGCTGCCGAGTACTGGGACGACGAGGGGGATCCGAAGGGTCCTGGAAGATGATTAGTCCTGGAGGTGTCCGGGATAGTGGAGGCTTGACTCGTTGGCGAGGCTCCTCGACCTCCGGAGAAGGCCAACAGGTCCGGGGGGTATTGCCTGTAGCTGGTTCCTCTTGTCAGGGTCCCGTCCCTATCTAATTCTGGCGTAGCTCCTTCTCGCTCGTCATCGGCCACCCCCACACCTCCACCGATACCGCCAGCTGTGTGGAACAAAAAAGATTTAAAATAAACGGTAAATAATAAAAACGCCTGAGTATGGAGCAATCGTCCTGGATGACCACAACGACCGGGGACGTTGCTTCACTGGTTAGGGTATTGTCAGTTAATAAAAGCAGTATACTGACCGAAGACGGACTCGTTGTCTAGGAGGGTGCGGTTGAGTTCCGTCATCTCCGTGCCGTGTGACGTTACGGAAGGTGCCTCGTATCTTCTAGGTGGCTTCACCACCGGATTAATCGCAGTTATCAGGGACTTCTCTTGTTCCCCCATACCGTGGTGCTCTAGAGACGCAGCCTCGGCTGCCTTCTCGTCGTGTCTCGTTCGACGCCGACGACAATAGTATAGACAGAGGACTAGGCTGACCAGGAGTAGCAGGAGCGCTATCACCCCGAACCCCAGAGCCAGGGGGAGACCTATGGTGTGGTCCTTGCTCCCTATGGCGTCTCCGATGATACTTAGAGTTACGTTCCTCTCCACTCTACCGCCTGGACTCGTCGCCACGCACACGTAGTCTCCCTTGTCGGACAGGGTGACGTTGCCGAGGGTCAGGTTCGACCAGTCGTAGGCCTCCTTGATGAAGTAGGTCCTGGCCTCGGCACCGTGTCGACGAGTCCCGTTCCTCACCGCCCTGGACCTGTGGTACCAGGTCACCTTAGGCCTGGGAATTCCATCTATCCTGCAGGTGAGCTGCACGTCTCCATTGTCCACCTCCAATCTGGGAGCTGGACCCAGACTCACGATTCTGGGCCTACAGGCGAACTCGTCGCTGCTGACCTCGTCCCACATTTTCCCTACCAAGCTCGTAGGCTGTTTGCACGTCGTCGGCTTCGTGTATAATTTCCGTTCGATCGTCCAATCCCGGAAATTCTTCAGGTGGCAGTTGCAATTCCAGGGGTTGTTGTGCAGCTCCAGACTCCCCAGTCTTGGCAGACCTTCGAAACTCTGCAGCTTGACGTTGCTGAGCTCGTTGCCGTCCAACGTCAAGGTCTGCAGACCTGGGAGATTACGGAAGGTCTCCTCCCCGATTCGCTCGAGTCTGTTGTTGGAAAGGACTACCTTTTGCAGGTATTCCAGGTCGTGGAAGAGCCCGTTCTCCAGACTGCGGACCTGGTTCTGGTTTAGCAGCAGGACGCGAAGGCGTTGGGTCTGGGCAAAGGTTCCGGGGTGCAGGGTCTTGATGCGGTTCGCCGATAAGTCGATCTCTATCACGATCTTTAGACCCTTGAAGGCCTCCACGTGGACCGCCTCGATTCCACATTCGCGTAGAACCAGCTTTTGGAGGTTTACCAGGCTCACGCGACTAAACGCCTCGTAGCCTACGTGGCCGATCCGGTTACCCGTTAAGTCCAGAATCTGGATGTCCGGAGACAGCGAATTCGGGACGTTGGTCAGGTTCTCCTTGATGCATTCCGCGGTCTTTTTCCCAGATACCCATTTGCATTTGCAGGGCTCGCAGGACGACTGCCAGTCCTCTTGCCCCAGGCACGCCGCCGCCATCATCATCAGGCCCAGGAACTTGGCTATCGCCTCCATCTCGCGATCTGGAAAGTTCAAACCTTTAGAAACGAATTCATCCGACATACGTCACGTTACACGTGACCCTACACATTACAGGCTCATAGCACTAAATATCTACATCGCTCCATCCTCTCGCATCATCGAGCGCATTTGTCTCAAAACTCAACCGAGTTCCTAGATGGGCATAGCATTGTTGCATTCCTTCCAGTCCGGGGAGTAACGTTACCGTGATCTAGAATCTCGCGTTTGAAACATCCGAGAGTCGATAGTCATCGAGGTAGAGGCTTTGTCTCTTCCGATCGAGTGCCGGGGCGTTTAGTTGCAGGAATCTGTATCGCGTGTCAAAGCTGACGTCCCCGAGTAGGTCTCAGGCCTGGTGATTTCGCGAGGGTTCGCGTCTGTCGCGATCTAATTAGCCTAATTGTGCACAGCCTTAAGCCAGCCGAACCAGGTTGGCCCCTGTCAGAGGTTTAAGGGGATTCGGCGTGAGTTCCTAGTCGTCTCTACCGGCAGACGAGCAAATAATTCATCAGCGTTACGACCTGGCTGACCCGGCGACGAGACGACTCTACTCCAGGAGGCTAGGAGGAGGTCGTAGGTTGGAGGTTCCCTGCCGAGGGGAGTCGAGGACACCCGGAGGCCGCCTTGGGCGACGTTTGCGATGCGCCCATTCTACGGAGCTATGGTTGGGCACCATCCGGCTAATTCGAAACTTCTCGAGACTACCCGGGCCCTTAAATATTTGAGCACCGGCAAGGACGCAGTTGTTGGTCCCGGCAAAGTGTACCCTGCGAAGATGCTGGAACCTCGAAATAATAAGGTCCCGGCATTGTCGCAAGTGTTTCCAAACCGGCCGGATAATTGCGGCTTTGGGGGGCTGAACTTACGTCGTCAAAAAGTAAGATCCTTAAGGGGACCTGCAAACATTTTCTACCGAATACCATTTTCAAAAGCCAGCTAGAATTTTCTGATCACCTCAAAGGTGTCGTATTAAGCGTGAACAACCAGCTGATTTTTTTTTTTTTTTTTAATGGGGTAAGACGCAGGTGTAGTTTGAGGTTGAGGGCAAGGTAGAGAACATGGAGGAGGGCGAGAGATCTCGGTTGGACGCGTCTGATTAAGTTTTTGACAAGGAGTCCACCATGAAGGGGTAGTTGCGGCGAGTCGTGCGCAAGGCACCCTCCCCAGAAACCAGAGCTAATTTATCTAGGGACCCTAGTTGCTCGGCAAGCCGAAGCCCGGAAGTACTGGATGTAGCTTAGGGAGTTTTCCCGTTGTCCGGCGCATCCCCTAATTTCAGGGTGCGCTCCCCACCGAGGGTGAGCAATTTACCTCGGCATCGTTCCCGAGTCCCGACTGCGCTCGTCTTCCAAGTTAAATTAATACACCGCTGGCTTGAATTTTATTTCTTCGTTATGGCGAGCCCGGCGAGCATCGAATTACTTATGCAGCGAGACCTCCAACGGGAGATCGGACAAGCGTCGAGGTTGCTTAACCGACCGCCATTTTTGTCGGGGAGTGATAATATATTCTCGACGTTCCCACAATTTTATTTGCCAATTTATTAGCCTCTTTTTCCTGAAAACCAGAGGAGGATCGCATTCTCGGCGAAGTTAGGCTATGCCGAGGAAGCTTGAATAGTTTCCGCGTTTTCGGAGTTCTGCACCTCGGTTTATTGTTAAAAGGCGGAACGGCTTCTCCGAAGGAATTATCATAGAATTGTTTAGGAGCTTTCCTGATTCTTAGCCGTTATCTTTTTAACCACTAAACTATTTGAAAAATTGGGGAAAAGGGGAGTCGCCTGGCCGACCTGAATTCCGCGGTCGTGCAGAATTATGCGGCCAACTGGGCTCGGGCGGAGACTCTTTGAAGTCGCTGAGCATTTCAAAGGTAAAGTAATAAATAGGTAGTAGGGTAGGGCGTGACTTTTGCAGGGTGGCTGGCATCGTTTCGAATCGATCCTGACGATCCGCCATGGTATTTGACTTGCAAATATACGCCGGCAACAGGACGCCCGTTGTGCCGCCCGGCGAAAAACAGGAATCGAGGAATCGTTCTTGCCGAGGGGTGTCTTCGGCCCAGAAGACGCGAAAGCCTTTGAAAATTATTTCCTGAGAGCGAAACCATCATTGGTATGCCGAGAGAGAAAGAAATTGATTCTTTCAAAGGGGAGATCATTTCTTTGAAAGAGGAAAATGTTCTCCTCGGTGTAGGATTTTTTTTCTCACCTTTAAATGCAGATAATAACGTGGATTAATTTTCCTGCAAATCGAGCGACCCTCGAATTCGCAGATTTCGCCGGGACGCAGTCGCAGTAATTACTGGAAATTTCAAGGGACCAATTTTCCGCTAAATAGGTAATGAAAGGGCAAATTCTCCTGGCGGTATTTCGCAGTTACCTGAGGAGAGATGACGAGGAAATTAATTAAGAGCAGAGGGCACATTTTCAATTCCCGGGAAAAGTGGGTCGAGAGAAGCTTCGAGATCATTTAATTAGAGTGACGCGTTAGAATTTCGCTGGCGTGTATTTTCTTTATCCAGGAAAATTGGATGATACGGTAATTAAGATTGGTGACGTTATCTAGGACGGTATATACAATCTAGCCATTTTGAGGCGATATATCTTAGACGGAGGTGCAAGCGAAGAGGACAATTTCCCCTCGAGGAATCACGGTTACTTAAGGGAGGAAACTGCTGGGAAAATGAATTACAAGCAAAGGGTTAATATTCTGAATTTTTTTTTTCTCGAAGCACGCGGAGGGAAAACGCTGAAGGTAATTTAATTGGGCTGATGCGTGCCACGCTTGCGAAATTACTTTCATTTCATAGACTTCCTCCACCGCCTTTGGAAACCCGCCGACTCGAGGAAATCTATTTTCCGAGGAGTGACGGACGAAAGGAAAAATTGTATAAAGATTTAATCAAGACACGAGTCCGCCATTCTCCTTTTGCCGTGGAAAACGCGCCGAGGGAAACGCTTTAAAGCTCCGGCACTTGCGGTGATACGAAAAGCCCGACGATATGCTCGACGAAATTTCCGACACGCATCCGAGAGAAAGTCATTTTTTATAGGAAACTCATTTTGCAAATGAGCGCCCCATAAAACCGGGGGTTTATATCGATCCGTTGTGCGCGATTTATGTCACGCAAACCCGCCACCTTAGCTGGGGCGTTAAGCCATTTTCATTTAGAGCTTAACTTGCGTTTCACTTCGGAATTAGCCGATAACAGTTATCCAAAGCCGGTGATCGATCTATTTCGCGTCCGGTAACCCTGCGTCAAAGTGGACTCGATTACCTTAATTGAGCACCGATGGAAGAATCGTTTCCATCGACCGATCGTTCGCAGTTTTCAAATCGCGAAATAAAAAATTTCATCTCCCGTTTCTTGACGCGGAATCGACGGAGGGTGGAAAGAAATCCTCGTCGCGTTTTCTGCACGCGTTCCCCGTATATCAATCCATTCGATCCCATTTATCTTCCTGCATTAACATTTACAGGGCGTGTCATCGGTGACAGCCTGTCGGACATGTCCGCAAACAACCGGACATGCCACATCCCTCTCGTAACGCGGATTCTCCACCCCTCTCTCAAGTTGACAGTCGCGACAGACTGGCGGCCATTTTGAACCCTAACTTTGGAGTTGATATTCCATATTTGTTACCATATTCTCATATTCAGAGTTTCTTCCCTCGCCATGTCGAATTTGGCCCTGTGCACTTCTTTATCTCATGCCTTAATATGTCCCGGCCTAAGTAATATCTTGCGCAATTATTTCCCCGAGAATCCTCGCTTTGAATAGCATTGACCGCGGCGGCCATCTTGCCCGAGGCACGCGTAAATTCGACCCTCGTTCCTCGTCTTGGATGCAATTTACATGTCGCAATTAAATATGGCTCCTCGCGTTTCCTGCGCCATTGCTCTGCGTAGGGTGTCGGCCGTCATGTTTTATTTATCGAGATTCCCGCAACGATCGGTACTTCCTATAAACTTGTACTAGTACTTGCACACGTCCGCGATAGGATGCATTTTCGATCCGCCGACGACTGGTTACTTTGGGAAAATTTTAGCCAGGTGTAATTTAATTACCGCGATTAAATACAGTTCTTCGAGTGTCGATCGCCGTGTTTAATTCATCGAGATCCCAATAATTGCACTGGCAACGTATCAACGAATCGCAACTTCGTGAAATTTCGAGACTGAATTAGATTTAATTCAATTTCTCCATATTCGTTGCTCTCGGATAGGAGCGTTTTGAAACAGGAATATTTGCATCGCACCTCCTGCATTTCGGGGATACGTTGCACCGACAGGAAGTATGTCGCCGTTAGTTAACTCGCACTGTCTCGTATCACCAATTGCAAGGTCGTTATGCAGTCTGGTGCAAGTAATAATGTGGGTCGAGATGCAGTTCCCGCCTAGGTGAGTCGCGTCACTCGGAAAGAGCATTCGAGCTTAAAACGGTCCTCGATAATGCATTTGGTATCGCTTTTGCATCGGTGCACGCGTATGCATCACACGGTGCACTTGCCTGTCAAGTCGGGTGCACTTAATAGTGGGCGTACGCGCGTTCTCGGTGCACACACCAATTATCGCGTGCAGATCACGACCGCGTCGAATCGACCCTTCGATTGTTCCTATCGATCCCAGAGAAGCGGTTATCAATAGATGCCTCTCCGTGGAAATTGACGGTTCGACGTCGAGCCCGAAGAAAAATATATTTGGAAAAATTTCTTTACGGATTTCATACGTGAAATTTAATTTCCCGAGGTGGATAATATCCCAGGCATAATTTCGTCGCCCTTCGAAATGGTGTCGCGTTACTATTAATTAAAATTAATTTCAGCTAAGCTTTGCTAAACCGTGAAACCCGTCCTCTCTCACCTGAATTTCCTCCCCTGAACTTACCGAGGCCAGAAAATTTCTTCGACGGCGTCTCTTTAATTAAACGGAATTTATTTAGGCCGTTTCTCTAAACTCGGACATTTTCGTGAAATTGTGGGGGTGCGAGTTTTTAGGCGTTATTAAACGACACATGAAAGAAACGTGCATAGAAGAAGATGAACTCTGGATGTCTCTTTTAAATTTTGGTTCATGCAATTTTTCGGGAATTTTTGAGAATTAAGGTTGATTAACGTCTATTAACAATTTAGTGCGTCGGCAGGATCGGACAGTTGCTTATCAATTCGAATGTACTTAACAATCGGGGTATGTGCATACTCGGTGCACATAATCGTGCTCAATTACC